CCTGCTGACTAGGATGGGGGCGCCGGGCCAGGCTGGGCTGGCCCTGTGGCACTGCCCGCTGCTTTGCTGGCCTCTGGGCCACAGCGTCCATCACTGTGGTCGCTGCACTCCCCCTGCCTTGTCACCTCCTTCACAAGGTCGGGACCAGATCGAGGTCCCGGGTCCCCAGCAGAAGCAGGACCGAAGGCCGGGCCTCTCAGTCCCGGCCGGGTGTGGCCCCACTCCCGCCGTGGGCCAGCCGCGAGGTCGCATCCGGATCCTTCCCCGCTCCCCTCCCTCTCAGCTCTGCGCCACTGGCCGGCGCTCTCAGGCAGGAGGGTCCCTGCCTCCTTGCCCTCCTGGGAGCAGCAGCTGTGTGCCGTGGGACCGACACCTACTCCAAGTTTTCTGGGCCCGGGAGGGTCTGGAGGTTCCGTGGAGCTGGGGATGGGCCCCAGTGTAGCGGGGGAACCCCCTTAGGAACCAGGTCCCTGTGTCCACCCGAGGCAGGCCTGAGGCCTCAGGCACAGGGTGGCCCTGTGGTGTTGAACCCCCCAGGCAGGGCCAGAGGTGACTTTTCCAGCTGTTGTCATCACAGCCCAGCCAGGGGGGTGGGGGTCTCCCCGTGTCGCACCTGGGCTCCTGGAGGCGGGGCAGGACCCCCGCTGCAACGAGCTGCTTTCTCCCAGTCCACCTTCCTCAGCCTGATCACCTCCACGGCCAGTGAGGCTGCGTCCTATGAATTCACAACCCTGACCTGCATCCCTGGGGTCATTGAAGTAAGTTGGGGTTTGCCGGATCCCGAGGGAAGGAGGGTGTGTGTGTGTGTGTGTGTGTGTGTGTGTGTGTGTGTGTGTGTGTGTGCGGGCGTGCGCATGTAGAATCCTGAATTGATCGTGTTTAGCCCCAAATGATGGCATTTACCTGGAAGTGACTACATTTTCTGCTATTAGGTAGATAGGGGATTTGAGAAAAAAAAAGAAATTAGAGTTACAAAATTAAAAAAAATCCTCAAGCACGGACATCGTTGGGGGCTGGGGCTGCCGGGTCCCCGGAGACGCCTGGCCCGTCCTGTAATCCTGGCTGGTTCCGAGAGTCTGCCAGCATGCACAGCTCTTCCCGGTGCCCCTCAGTGCCCCGCTGCCCTGTACCGCCCCGGCTCGGGTCACCCGTGGCTGGCTGGCTGGCTCCTGTTCCCCGAGAAGCTTTGGAGCCTTGGGCAACTGGGGTTCTGTGGCCTTGGGCCTCCCACCGTGAGGTGGTTTCCTTGTGAAGAGCTGTTACCATCAGCAGTGGCTGCCAGGGGCTTATAAAGACTCCCGCCCTCCAGGCGGCCCCTCGGCTCGCGGGACATGGTCCGCGCCAGGCTGGCTGGGGTGGGGCCGCCGCTCACACTTGGCCCGGGAGGCCCCTTCACAGCCCACCGGCCCTGCCTTACCTCCTTTCCTGCATCCTAGTACAAAGGCGCCAACATCCAGCTCCTGGACCTTCCTGGGATCATCGAAGGCGCAGCACAAGGTGGGAGGGGGAGCAGGTGGTGGGGGCGGGGTGGAGCCCAGGCCCCACTGTGGGCGCCTGTGGACGGTTGACGGGAGGGTTGGGCTCACAGCCCCTCCCAGGGCCCAGTACTCCGTTCCCGAGGGACTCTGGCCTCAGAGCTGAGGGGACTGAGGCCCAGGAGGTGGGTGACTTGCCCAGGGTCGCACGGCTCACCAGGCAGCTTTGGTTCCCACGTCCAGTGTGTGGTGGACCCCGCCAGGGATGGGCGCACGGCAGTGGAGCCCTAGCCCTGGAGCCCTGTTCTCTGAGATGGGACACGCCCTCGGCTTTGGTGGCAGGTGGCTGCCCGCTGGGGTCGTCCCTCCCTTGCCAGGTGCCAGCTCCATGCGGACCGTTGGCTCGCTTAATCCTCTGACAACCCTGTGACTGAGCGAGTGTCGTCATTTCCTTCTCATGGCCGGGAGGAGCGTGGGGGCGGACAGCTGAGCATCTGCCCTAAACGACCGTGCACCTGTGCAGTGCGGGACTGGAGTTGGAGCCTCCTCCTGGGGGTCCCGTGCCCACCGCCCTCATCAGGGCGAGGTCCTGCCTACTTGGATTGGCGTGGGGAGCGATGGTGGTCCCCCAGGAACCTGCCATCCCAGCCGGCAGGAGGAGGCCTGGCCCCCACGGGGGAGGCTCACCCGCTGTAGTCAGGAGGCCCCTGGAAACCACCGGGTCCCCTGCTGTGACCCCAGTCCCCAAGTGGCCGTGTGACCTTGGCCTGGTGCCTGCCTTCTCTGGTTGTCTGATGGCAGGGTCTGACCTTGGTGGTGGCTCCACAGCCCCTCCCCCTGTGCCGTCTGCTGCTTCCTCTCTGTAACCCTTGTTCTGGGAGGGGCAGACTCGTCACATCCTGGAACCACGTAGCTTTGTGGTCTTGGGCAAGTGGTTGAGTGTTTTTAAGCCAGGTCTCGGTTTTCTCGTGTCTGGACCAGGCAGATAAGAGCGACTGCCCGGCGTGGCTCTGGGCTGAGTGAGCAGCTGGAGGGGGATCGCCCAGCTTGGCCCACGGAGCGGGGGGGCGGCGGGGGGCGCCTCTCTTCCCCAGGCGCTGGTGCCGGGGTTCCTCCTAAAACACAGTTCCAGGAGTAAGACAGGGCTCGAGAGAAGTGCCAGCCTGGGGGTGCACACGGCAGAGTCTGTGCGGGTCTGTAAGGGGCAGGAGTCTGCGCCATGGGCTGGGGGCATCCCGTGGTCCTGCCCACGTCACTGTAACCACGTTCCTCCCTCCTGACCAGGGAAGGGCCGTGGCCGGCAGGTGATCGCCGTGGCACGCACAGCCGACGTCGTCATCATGATGCTAGACGCCACCAAGGGAGAGGTGCAGAGGTCCGCAGTTGGGGTGGGGCAGGCTGACATGCCTGGGAAGGCCCTGCGGGGGGGAACAGGACACTGCGGCTACCGCCCGTGTGTCCCTGAGCTCGTGGTGGGTGGTTCCAGGGGTGCTTGGCGCTCTGCCATGTGGGAGCAGCGGCAGGACTGTCCACGGCTACACTCAGTGCAGGCAGCCTGGGGCGGTCTCCCCGAGAGGCTTGCGTCTGGAGGATGGGGCTGTGCCGTGCCACCCTGGCTCTGGCTCCTGCCTGCGGGGGCCTGGGTGCCCCGTTGCTGCCCAGCGTCTGCCAGGAGCCCGGCCGCAAACAGCAGAACCTTGCTCACGCCCTGGCCTGCGGCTGAGGGCACAGCAGGCAATCTCCCCTCGGACCGGCCCGAGGGTCTGGGGCTCGTGTCCTCAGCGCCTTTGGTTGCTGGGAGGGGACGTTCGGCGGCTAGTGGCGGGTGCGAGGGGGCCGGCCGTGGAGGGTGGGGGCCGCACGGCCTGCCCCGGGCACCTGTGAAGGCCACGGGGGCTCCACCAGGTCCCTGCTGGAGAAGGAGCTGGGGTCGGTCGGCATCCGCCTCAACAAGCACAAGCCCAACATCTACTTCAAGGTGAGGCCTCGGCAAGGGGGTGGGACCGGCCGCGGCCCGCAGGGTGAGCGGTGCGGGCTGCGGCTGCCGCTCTGTCAGCATCACCCCTCCCTTTCCCCTCCAGCCCAAGAAAGGAGGCGGCATCTCCTTCAACTCGACAGTCACGCTGACCCAGTGCTCAGAGAAGCTGGTGCAGCTGATCCTGCACGAGTACAGCATCCTTCCCGAAGGTGCGAGAGCGGGGCCGTGGCCCTCGGGCAGCAGAGGCCCGGGTGATGCAGACTGCCCACATCACCCAGCTCCGTCCAAGCCGCAGGAAAGCTGCGGCCAGCTCACATGAGGCACTTCTGTCCCCTTTGCCTCATGCTCCCCAAGCTTCCAGCTGGCCGGGCCGCAGCCGTGCACTCCTGGCTCCTTGCAGGTTACAAGGCCGGTCACGTGTGGAAGGAAGACGAGATGGCGAGGGACAGGGCCTCCTGGGCTGGGGAGGCCTCAGGGCGACCCCAGCGGGCAGGGGGTGGCCAGGCTGGGGGCGGTGGTTGGAGCGGAGGCAGGGCAGCCGCAGGGGGCAGCTCGTGTCGTAGTGGGAGCGGGACTAGTGCTCCGGGCTCTGGAACTGGCTGCCTTGGCGATCCTGGCAAGGGCGTTATTTCTTCTGTTGTAACAGCAAAGATTTAAAATATTGATTGAATCCCTTACACGTTGTGCTTCCTTGAGAAAAGTGAGGGAGCTCCCCAAACGTTAAAATCATGTAAAACCGTGGAAACAGATAACCTTACAGTCCCTCTTGGCAGCGTGTCTCGCGATCGGCTGTTTCAGGCCCTGCTGGCAGCGGTTGGGGGGGTGGGGCGCTGCTGGCGCACAGGTTCAGGCCCTGCTGGCAGTGTTGGGGGGGGGGTGGCGCTGCTGGCGCGCAGGGTGCCCTTAACCCCCCGCCCCTCCACGGT